TTTCAATATAAGCCCAAAATTGAAATTATAAGGGCCGATGTTCCAATTGGAGAGTGTTTCAGTCAATCTGCTCCTTGAATGGGAAACTTCTTCAGTATGTTCTAGAACGAGAGTAGCATAAATAATTTATATTTTTAATTATCATGAAGACAAGCTACAAGATTAAAAGAGACTAGAACCTGCTTACTGAACATTAAGTGTTAATACACCATTGCTCCATGACAAACTTTAACAAAAAAAAAAAAAAATCTTAACTCAGGTGACAGTCATGTTTCTGCAGTGTTTTATTCAACAGAGGTCACTACCTTCAGATGGACTTCTTACATCATCAAAGGCTTCAAAAGGTTAGCAAGGAAATGGTCCTTTTAACATAGGCCATAAAGATGTTCAACCTTTTGAGAAAACTACTTATGCTGTTAACTATGTTCTGGGAAAAAAAATTAAAAAAAAATTATAAAAGAGTTGACTTTTATACAGAATTTTATTCAAATTAGAGGCAAAATGGAAAAGAAGATTAGCTCTGCTATTCCTGTAAGATTTTTCCTCCCTGTTTGGAGCTCCACATCTCATCCCAAAGTGGTATAGACCAAGGTGCGATGAAATCAGAGTCCTGTGATCAATTTGATCTTGATTTTCAGGGAGCTGAAACACTCAATCCATCTCATTGCCACAGCTAACCTAGTGATTGATTAAATAAGAGGTAGCTCCGAATTTATGAAAGTCCTAAAAGAAAACTAAGGAAAGCTTTCATGAGTAAAAAGAGCTTTATTATTAGAATCTTTATATTCTGGAATGGGATCTGATACTGACTTTGCAAATAGCAAATAACCCTTAACATTGATTAAGTAAGGATTTTTAAAAATCATCTCTGTTTTCCAAGGTCATAGGAATGACTCACCTGAAAACTCTAAGCATCCATTGCCTGAAAATGATGATGATGAGATTTTAGAGGGTGTTTTCAATTTTAAATAAGGTATCTGTCTCACCCCAGCTGGATACTTCTTCTTGAGTCCTATGTATTCCCCCCACCCCATCCTCGGTTGTATCTTTATTTGGAAATCCATCTTAGAATAATTGTCTTTGTAGACTACAATACAATTTTATTGCTGAAAGAGCCTTAGAATTGATTTGATGTCTCCTTTCCCTCACCATCACTCTAGGGATGAGAAAATGCATCTTCACAAAAAATGAGCTCCCATGGGCTTCCACGTTTGGCAGAGACTCCTGGGTCTGGATCCCCAGTCTTTTTCCCTCCAGGGCTTTTGCACGCCCCTTATGTTTTGTTTTTCCCTTTAACTCAGCCAGGATCTTTTTTTTTTTTTTTTTTTTTTAGCAATGTACATGCACAGCTATCCTTCTGTTGTTTTTCTTTTATAGTCCTAACATTCATTGACACACAGTTTGGGGAAAGAGTGGGTATCATTACTGACTCTTGGAGGCAATAGAAGAAAATAATTTTTAATAGTGAAGTTTGAGATTTCAATGTTTCTAATTCTATGCTGTTGATGACAATGCCTTCTACTAGTTATTTAGCACATGTGAATCATGTTATAGTTTCAAAATACTTTTCTATCAATAGCAACTTCTTAGCATGAATCAGGCTAATTTTATTATCTTCTTTTCCCCAAAGCAGTCTTCCTGGGCACATACTTGCTGAATGCATGAGTTGCCCAGATGTTTAGATATCTGAACTCCTGAAGTCTGCATGGTGCCAGCCAAAAGATTTGGATTAAGGATAAAAAACAGCTAGTTGTCAAGAGCAAAGTTGGGGGTGGGTGATAGATTGATTTGGTGGTGGGTAGAAAGACTGACTATCTGCACTCATTGATGGCACATCAAGAGTTTGCAGGTATCCTAGCTCATGCCTAGTCCCAAGAGTCTAGGGAGACTTTGCTCCATCCTGGAAATCTTCTGTGGTGTGGGGCAGGGTGAGGGTGGGAGGAAGGGCCACGGGAAGGGTCCAGTTCATCCCTAACTGGCTCCTAACCTCAAGGATAAACCACTTAAATTTTCAAGGCAGAGGGATGTGTGATCTATGGGAACACTTTTGATCAGGAATTCACCTCCTTGCTGTTGTCAAGAATGGACCCTTTGAGTGTGCTGTTTGTTGGTCAAGTGATTCTGAGCATATACCCAGAGTCAATTCCAAACCTGGAATAAGAATAAGGCTCTCCTTGGGGATGACTCAAATAGAAAAGCTCTTTGAATCACAACATTTGAAACTGAGTCACTCACCAGTCTTTTCTATGTCCTGTAAAGACAATTTAAGCATGGAGGTCTAAACTGGGTTTTTTGAATTGTAGCCTATCCCTCTCAGCACCCTTCCATCTCAGACCTCCATGGGAGCAGTAAGATATTTGTGAGACACTGATTTTAAGAAAGACCTCTTCTCACAAGCCAGTCTGAGGGGATTTGAGGGCTTGGGAGGGTCACTGGAAATAACTGGCACTTCATCCTGTAAAGCTCTGCCTCCAGGACACATGGCCTGCCAGATGGCCCCATACATCCGACTACCTCCACCTTTCCTCTTCCTGGTAAATCAGAAACTCTTCTGATTTACCAGCAACTTCAGAGTTATGACAAACGAAACCCAATGGAAATTCTGACCCTCCGCTGCCACCAATGCATTGAAGATGCATTGTCACGTATTACAGTTTTAGAGACTTGGGCTGCCTCATATTTAGGTCTTTCTCCCTACCTCCATCAAATCCCTCTGATTTTTGAAGTGCCTTCTGAGAGTCTAAAATCATGCTTGCTAGAAATTCTTACTCACCTAAACTTGTACATCTTGCGCTACTGTTTAATTTGGTCCTCTCTTGATTTTCAAAATCCTGCCCAATGGACCAAGGAGCTCTGGTGGTGTAGTGCCTGAGGCACTTGACTGCTAACCAGAAGGTTGATGGTTCAAACCCACCAGCCACTCCGCAGAAGGAAGACTGGGCTATCTACTTCCATATAGATTTACTGCCTCGGAAACCCAAAGGGAGTCGCAATGAGTCAGAATTGGCGGTGGGTTTGGTTTTTGCTTTGGCCTAATGGACACTGATCAGTAATACCCAAATATCATTTAGATAGGATGAGCTGAATATAAGATGATAACACTTACCCTTTTAATTCCTTTCCCATTTTCAGCCACAGCCCCTTCATTGTCTGTCTTGTGTGTCACGTGCCTATTCCATTACGTTCCTCTCCCTCTTCAGACAGTCTCAAACTGTCAAGCTATCAGAGGAAGAGAATGGTTGTTCTCCACTTTAGGTATGACTCATCTTTCATATAATAGCCATTTATATACTCAGATACCTATTGGAAGCATACCAAAGTCCTCTTTTGATATTCCACCTGGAATCTCTCTATCTCACTAAGGCAGTGGGCATATTAGGTACACTGTCAAAATAATCTCAAGGAACTAGTACCTGATTTTTGCATTATAATAAAGTGTGCAATTAAGTGTAGTTTTAGAGGTCGATTTTTAACAGAATTCTCTTCTCTCTGCCCAGAGAATGCAATGGCCATGTGATTCAGAATGGTTACTGCTGCTGCTATTAAGCATTCTGGTTTCAGCCCTTTGGGTGGTGGTTTTTTGTTTATACCAGAGTCAGAAGGAAGAAAAAAGTAAGCAATGGAATAGAGAAATGGAGTTTGATGTCAGAGACTGGTAAAAGGGCACCAGAGAAACTAGAAAACGGGAAAAATTATGTAAATAGCACAAAGGACAGGTGTGCTTCAGCAATGTCACATGAAAATGTAAAGGAGTTATATATGGATAACTCAGGGAAAATTACTGTTAATTAGCGCTTTGGATTGTGGCTTATGGAAATTGGCTGAATAATTAAAACAATCAATGGTTGCTGTCCTCTTTGTGTCCTTAGCACCCTGCACAGTGCCTGGGCACACAGCTGCCAATGAATATTTATGTAATAAATACAACACTGATCGCAATATACTATGTTTCTAAACAAACTATACAATTTTTGTATAGGACGCAGTCACTTCCATGCACACCCTACCTGTGGCAGGATTTGTGGGAAAGGCCTCTCTTAAAGGAAAGTGTGTGGCGTCGATTGGCTACAATCCCTTTCTCTGCATAGGAAAATAAAACAAAACAAAAAACATACGCACACAAACAAAACGCCAAGAGGATGCAAGCTTAGTTGAGCAGATATGAGGCCACTCTTGAGGTTTATCTTTTATATTACTGCTTGTCAGGCTCTTGTCGAATTTCTATCTCCTAGTTGTCGACCCGAGACAACCAAGGAGTTAGCCAGGGGCGGTTTTGTGGTAGTAGCAACAAAGTCCCTCGGGGGCAGTACGTCTCTTCTCCCTTGGCGTCTGTCGCCTGCACCTGCCGCTGCCCCTCGCGCCTCTGCAAAGAAGCAGAGGTCTAAGCACGTTGCTGTGCAGTGCTGACAGGCGCCTAGAATCAGCCTCGCGCGCCGCTCGCTAACACTAGGCGGGCTCCTGGGGTGGCCTCTAGAATCCCTGTAGGTGTTCCCCACTCCCTCCTTAGCTTTCCCCTCCGCAACCAACTCCCGGCCAGCTTCTCTCGCAGGCGCCCGCCACTGGTGGGGAGTCCTGGGGTCGCCGCCGTCCTCCGTGCTCCCAGGCAGCAGCGGCGCGGGTCTGGGGACCGGAGGCGGGAAACCGAGTTGGGGGCGCTCTGGGCTCGCGCGCCGCGCTGCCCCGCGCCTTTTGCCGCCTTCAGTTGCAGCAGCAGCTGCAGCAGAGGCGGCGGCGGGAAGAGGAGTGGAGCGCGGTGCGGAGGGCTAGAGCCGGGACCTGGAGGGAAGGAGGGAGGGGGGCCGGGAGGCTGGGCCAGGCGAGCCGGAGGGGTGCTCCGCGCTCCCCCGCCCTCCTTCCGGGAGCGAGGATGCAGACTCTGAAACTGGCGCTGCTGGGCTGAGGCGGAGGCAGGGGACTCGCGGCGCGCGCGGCTCCGCGAGTGTGTCTCCTGTGCGCCGCGAGGCGGGGGGAGGAGGAGGACGAGGAGGAGGAGGGGGAGAATGCCCGGAGCCGCTGCCGCTGCCGCCGCGATGCTCCCGGCTCAGGAAGCTGCCAAGCTGTACCACACCAACTATGTGCGGAACTCGCGGGCCATCGGCGTGCTCTGGGCCATCTTCACCATCTGCTTTGCCATCGTGAACGTGGTGTGCTTCATCCAGCCGTACTGGATCGGCGACGGCGTGGACACCCCGCAAGCCGGCTATTTCGGGCTCTTCCACTACTGCATAGGCAACGGCTTCTCCCGGGAGCTGACCTGCAGGGGCAGCTTCACGGACTTCTCCACGCTGCCCTCGGGCGCCTTCAAAGCCGCCTCCTTCTTCATCGGCCTCTCCATGATGCTCATCATCGCCTGCATCGTCTGCTTTACCCTCTTCTTCTTCTGCAACACGGCCACCGTGTACAAGATCTGTGCCTGGATGCAGCTCACCTCCGGTGAGTGCGCGCTCACCTCCGCGAAGGCGGGGGACCCGGGGCGCCCAAGCCCTGGAGGAGCCGGAGTGGGAGGGACTGGGGCTAAGCGTGCGGCTGGGCGCCGGGCAACTTAATCCGCTCACGCTTACGGGTGTGGGGGGCGGGAGCCCTGGGCGGCCGGGACCGCGGGGCTTCCCCAGCCCCAGCACTGGTTCCTGGTCCCGGGGCGTTCGTGAACCTCACAAGTGTGGGGGACGCCAGCCAGAGGGACTCGCGGGAGGCAGGGTGGTTGCTGGGCCAAGTTCTCTTGGAACTAAAGATGCGGAGTTTTGGGGCGCGGGGAGTGGCCGCTTGGAGAGGTGAGGGGCTGCGGTGGGGGGCAGCTGAGGAACTAAGTAAGAGCTGCATAGCCAGGCTAAAGCGGATTTGGAGAGGTACTGGAAGGAGTAGTCCGCTTGCCCTGCCCCTCGCTCACACTCTTGCTGTCATTGCTTAAGGAGGGTGGTTTGACAGAGGGGCTGTTGTGGAATTGTTTCTCCCAGTCCCGGGCAGTTATAAACATTTTATCGTTCATCTGGAGACGAGTAAATCCTAGAATGTTCCTTAGCATTTCCCCAGTGTCAAGCCTTCAGTTTGCTTCCTCGTCAGAGCAAAGGTGTCTCCCATTTCACCCTTTAACAGAGAACAGACTTGAGGGAATCAGAGTTCACGAGATCTCATTTTGGGGAAATGACTATAGGAAGGTGGGCAGGGAGGAAAGCCTATTTTCTTTAGCTGTGGACTATAGATTGTGGTTAGCTGGAGAAAACAGGTACATGGAAGTACTTTTTCTGAGCAGCAAAGTTACTTTTAACCCAGAAAAGGGATTGGGGTGATTTCCTGGTGGCTTTAAAGAGTTCTGGAAACAAAACTGGCTCCTTTCTCTATCTGGCTCAGTGCTGATTCCCCCTCTGCCAGCCCCTTTGGATGCCTCCCTTCTAAAGGCAGATCATGTCCTTGAAACCTTGACATCTTCCTGTTTCAACGTTGTTGGGTCTGTTTGATTTTGTGGGTGGCGTGGTTATGGAGAAAGGGGTATAGAATTTTTCAGACAAACTTTCTCATTTGTGTTTTATTTTATTCTGATTTTTAAAAGGCTTTAGCTTCAAGATGTAGTTTATCTTGTGCCTGGGAAGGGTTTCTGGGGAATAGAGATTTAATCTTTGAGTTTATCAGCGTGTTATAGGATGATTAAATTCTTAAAGGTGCTGGGAGGACAGTGTTAAGATGTATCATCTAATATGGCTAGTTTGATATAAGAGAAGCCTGTGTGAGACTAAACTTGTGTGGAAGTAATTTGCTCAAATTAAGGAAGTGTTGGCTGATTTTGATTTGCAAACACTGTGAAAGTGTGTATGTTAAAGGTAAGGAGTGAACATGAGTAGAAACCTACTACTCTCACACAGCCTGTTATCCTCCAGAAAGCTAAGAGTTCTGCTTTTTCTTCTCTCTTTCCACTTCCAACTTCACTGCCTCCCCTCTTTTTTTATAGATAATATTAATATCTATATCTGTTTCAAAAGAAGAATGACTTCGAGATTTGAAATAAATTCATGTATCATGGTTTTCTTGACTCCTAGCCTTGATTTGACTTTGAAGAGAACAGGACATGCAGGATGGAGATGTTTTAGAAAAAGAATTGACCCTCCACAGCTAATTTTAATTTTTCTAAGTTAAATGACCTATTTAGACTGGTGATTCAAATTAGATTGTTTTTCAAAAGGCTGCAAGTAATTTGCAGGTGATTTCTCAACAACATATTCTTAAATAGTTCAGTTTTTAATGAGGCTTTGTACTCTAAACAGTATCCATGATGGCACAATGGTTAAGTGCTTGGCTGCTAACCTAACAGTCAGCGGTTCGAACACCTGTGGCAGTCTGCTGCCGTAAAGATTTACAGCCTTGGAACTCCTATAGAGCAGTTCTCTTCTATCCTAAAGGGTCGCTGTGAGTTGGAATCCGCTCAGTGACAATGTGTTTGGTTGGTACTCTCAACCTAAGTTTTCTATTTAAAAAAAAAAAAAAAAGGAAAGAGAGAAAACTATCTTTGGGAAAAATTACCAGCTTTAGAGTTGATACAAATTGCAATTATTACAATATTTTATTATTTCCTCTTCCTGGAGTAGAACACACAAAAATTCCTTAAATTAAAAAAAAAAATCTTGGTTAAATATGTCAGTTTCCGAATTTTGACATAAACATATTATCCTCTATTTTATGTCCCAGTATAGTATGTGATAATAGCCTTTGTACTAAATAGATGTATAAATATTTACTTAATTTTTGGAGAAGTGTAAATCCTTAAGTTGTAGGCATACTTTTTAAACCATTATATGTAATTAATTTGGTATTTGACTTCTAGATAAACTTCTAGATAAACCATAGGTATATTAATAAAAGAAGAATTAATAACAGATCAGAATCAAAGTTGATTATATTCACAGATTTTTAAAGAATGGTATATAGAGGATATTTCTGAAAAGTGTCCACATTTAACATGCTTTTCTAGCTTTTTTTTTTTAAGTCTGTGACATGAACAAGAACTTTGACATAATGTACTGTAAGTTACTTTGAAAATTCAGTTTCTCAACTTTAGACTATTTCTTTTTGATGTTTAACAGCTTTTCATACTTGTAGTTTAACCATGTGTAGACTCGTCTTAACTGTAGTTTGCTAAATATGGAAGATGAGACTCTATCATTTGCTTGTTGTTGTTGTTATTTGCCATCGAGTTGGACCCGACTCATAGCAACCCCTCCTTGGGTTTCCGAGGCAGTATCGCTACGGAAGTAGATTGCCCAACCATCCTTCTGAGGAGTGGCTGGTGGGTTTGAACCGCCAGCCTTCTGGTTAGCAGTCAAGTGCCTTAGGCACTATGCTATCAGAGGGAGTCAAATGATTAACTTGTGTATTTGATTATCTAAGCATTTTAACATAGTAACATCATAAACCACAGGCAAGTAGAATGTAAAATCCTGTATGAAATAACACACTAAGATGAGGGAGCAGGAAATTTCCCATGGCAATACACCATCAAGAATGATTCTTTTAACAGTGAACCAGAAAAAGTGCTTAATTTATTGGACTTGAAAATGATGTTGCTCTTCTAGCTAGATGGCAAACATATAATTATTGGAGCTACTGTGAACACCTTGCCCTCTCCCTCTCCCCTCTAAATCATTACAGTCTTAGTAGGGTGAAACCAGGAAACACAGCATTAGAAGCTAATATGTCACACTACTTCTGGATGTAATCCTATACTTATGGACTGTGACTAATACAAAGACTAAAGACAAAAATAATACATATAAATAATAGCAATCAGAAGTGCAAAATTTCCCAAAGCTACAAAGAAACAACTGCTTTTCTTCTTTCTGTGTGATTTCTCTAACAATAAAAGGAAAGAGGTCTACCTATAATTGGTCAAGCAAGCTGTTAAATCCAGACTTTTAAAAAAATCAGATGGAAAGGGAATTTTGTCACTCTGGGAACTTGATTCTCTGTTTCTGTTTTTTTGTACTTTAAATCAGTATTTTTTTCTGTTTCCAAGTCTACCAAGGGCCAAATCCTATAGAAGTTTATTTTGTTTTGTATGTTTGTTTTTCTGACTATAAGTATACTTTGAATTGTATCCTTTCAACCATTATACACCCAAGAAATCTTTTATTTTTCAATAAGCTGAAGTATCTATGTGGAATTTAAAGGTTTGTGGACACCCATCATGGGTTTCTTGGTTGAGGGTAACATATAAGAGTGATCAATTGCCTTCATCTGTGAAGAAGGACACCTGATCCAGCTGGAATTTCCTAAATCAGGGCATAGAAGGACAGGAGAAAGGAGGATTTGTGCTTCTCAGAGTTTCTCATCCCTTCCTGTAATGCCAGGTGCACTGAAAAGAAGGCCACCAACATGGTAACACTCCTAGCTTTCAGCCTCAGTTCTCCCCAGCTATTTTCAGGCTGCAGTGCCTTCTTACATTCTACAGCTTTGTCATTTAGGTGAGATGAGAATCACCAGAGCTAATCAGTGCATTTCCTAGTCTGTGAGAGGAGCCTTTGCCATGTTATGCCACCCTGTCTCATGGTACCCTGCTCCTCCTTCCTTATGGTGCTCATCTTGGAAATTAGATGTGTGTGTGTGTGTGTGTGTATTTAATGCCTTCTTCTCTAGTACACTGGGAGTTACATGAAACTATGTCTGTTTTTGTTCATATTGGCATAAAGGTCAAGACCATGGACACTGTGGCCAAAAGATACATGTTTGAAGCCTGGTTCTGACATCCCTGACCATGCGACCTGGGGAATTTCTCTGTATTGCAGTTGCTCATTTGCAAAGTGGGGATATAATTATACCTACTTCAGGAGATTAAGGAGCTCTGGTGGCACTGTGGTTAAGGCATTGGGCTGCTAACCAAAAGCCGCACCATGGATAGTCTGCTTCTGTAAAGATTTACAGCCTTAGAAACCCTATGGGGGTCACTATGAGTCAGAATCGACTCAATGGCAGTGGATTTGGTTTCAAGAGATGGTGTAAGGATTAAATGAACTAATGTATAAACTTAGAAAAGTGCCTGGTACAGTAAATAAGCACTTTCTGAGTGTTAGCTGTGGTTGCTGTTCTTGCTATATCACGGCACGCAGTCATATGAGTACATCTTGCACGTAGTAGGCATTAGATAAGTTTTTGTAGAGTGAATGAATGAAAAAAAAATAGAAGGATGAAAAGAGTGATTTAAAAAGTCCTACATGCCATGGTGAAAAGGAATTCCCTATACTTTGAAAGGCATGATGTTTATTTTTCTTAGTGGTTTGTGGTGTTGGCAGTAACCACACTAAAAGAAATTCATATTATTTGCTGGCAGCGGTTGTGACTTGACAGCTTAATTTGTGGTGAGTTTTTTTCCTAAGTGGAGACTTTTTCCAACACATAGGTAATGATCTTTATTACAACACTGGGGGATGATCAATTATATCTTAGGATTC